CTCAGGGACTATCTGACTCGCTCAGGGACTGCTTGACTCGCTCAGGGACTGCTTGACTCGCTCAGGGACTGCTTGACTCGCTCAGGGACTGCTTGACTCGCTCAGGGACTGCTTGACTCGCTCAGGGACTGCTTGACTCGCTCAGGGACTGCTTGACTCGCTCAGGGACTGCTTGACTCGCTCAGGGACTGCTTGACTCGCTCAGGGACTGCTTGACTCGCTCAGGGACTGCTTGACTCGCTCAGGGACTGCTTGACTCGCTCAGGGACTGTCTGACTCACACAGGGACTGTCTGATTCACTCAGGGACTGTCTGACTCGCTCAGGGACTATCTGACTCGCTCAGGGACTATCTGACTCGCTCAGGGACTATATGACTCACTCAAGGACTGTCTGACTCGCTCAGGGACTGTCTGACTCGCTCAGGGACTATCTGACTCGCTCAGGGACTATATGACTCACTCAGGGACTATATGACTCATTCAGGGACTATCTGACTCGCTCAGGGACTGCTTGACTCGCTCAGGGACTGCTTGACTCGCTCAGGGACTGCTTGACTCGCTCAGGGACTCCTTGACTCGCTCAGGGACTGCTTGACTCGCTCAGGGACTGCTTGACTCGCTCAGGGACTGCTTGACTCGCTCAGGGACTGCTTGACTCGCTCAGGGACTGTCTGACTCGTTCAGGGACTGTCTGACTCATTCAGGGACTGTCTGACTCACACAAGGACTGTCTGACTCGCTCGGACTATCTGACTCGCTCAGGGACTATCTGACTCGCTCAGGGACTATATGACTCACTCAGGGACTATATGACTCACTCAGGGACTATATGACTCATTCAGGGACTATATGACTCATTCAGGGACTATATGACTCATTCAGGGACTATATGACTCACCCAAGAACTGTCTGACTCACTCAAGGACTATCTGACTCATTCAGGAACTATATGACTCACTCAAGAACTGTGACTCATTCAGGGACTGTCAGACTCACTCAATAACTATATGACTCACTCAGGGACTATATGACTCACTCAGGGACTATATGACTCATTCAGGGACTATATGACTCATTCAGGGACTATATGACTCATTCAGGGACTATATGACTCACCCAAGAACTGTCTGACTCACTCAGGGACTATATGACTCACTCAGGGACTATATGACTCATTCAGGGACTATATGACTCATTCAGGGACTATATGACTCATTCAGGGACTATATGACTCACCCAAGAACTGTCTGACTCACTCAAGGACTATCTGACTCATTCAGGAACTATATGACTCACTCATGGAATGTCTGACTCACTCAAGGACTCTCTGACTGTATATTAACAAAGTTATCAGGATGATATGTATATATGACAAGTGGTTTTGTTGACCTCTACATATGTGGGCTGTTGGTACTAACTATGTGTATTAACCTACTAATATGCTGTGTTGTAGGTCGGATTGGAACACCACATTTTATGGCACCTGAAGTAGTGAAACGAGAACCGTATGGCAAAGCTGCAGATATGTGGGGATGTGGTGTCATGTTATACATCTTACTAAGTGGATCTTTGCCATTCTATGGAACAAAAGACAGATTATTCGATAGCATTGTAAAGGGGAAATACTATGTAAGTTTCATTCAAATATGGCCTCCTATGCCTCTACTTTCACATGGCCTAGGGCTCTACTTTCAAATAACTCACATGGCCTAGGGCTCTACTTTCAAATAACTCACATGGCCTAGGGCTCTACTTTCAAATAACTCACATGGCCTAGGGCTCTACTTTCAAATAACTCACATGGCCTAGGGCTCTACTTTCAAATAACTCACATGGCCTATGGCTCTACTTTCAAATAACCCACATGGCCTATGCTCTACTTTCAAATAACTCGCATGGTCTATGGCTCTACTTTCAAATAACTCACATGGTCTATGGCTCTACTTTCAAATAACTCACATGGCCTATAGTTCTGTTTTAAATTACTCACATAGCATATGGCTTTGTTTCAAATAACCCACATGGCCTATAGTTCTGTTTTAAATTACTCACATAGCATATGGCTCTGTTTCAAATAACCCACATGGCCTTGGGCTCAACTTTCAAATAACACACATGGCCTATGGCTCTACTTTCAAATAACCCACATGGTCTATGCTCTACTTTCAAATAACTCACATGGCCTATGCTCTACTTTCAAATAACACACATGG